TGCGGAAGAATTTATCAACTCAAGTAACTATTGCAGGCATATTGGCGTTGCAATAGAGCTGTTTTATACTTCAAGCAGCTAAAAAAAGCTTCCATCCTTTCACAAAACAGATTAAGGCAAAGAATAGCCAGGAGACAGCATGGGGAGCTAAAGACGGTAGATAACATTTACTTCTGCAGTCCTGCGCTTAAGTTTGTAATAAGTAATCCATCTCTTCGTTGTTATTATTGTCTATGCTTTTTATTTTGTCAAACTATAGATTCAAATAATTTTAACTGGATGCACTATCATATGGTTTCTGTCCTTGAGAGTCATGAGGGTTATATATAATTAATATGGCATTCGTATAATTTCTTATTATGTGAAGTATATAGGTATATAAAGAAGGATTTGGTGATAAATATAGTTCTGTTAGGGCCAAAACTTGATTTACTGTAGAATGAAAAAAAAAAGGTAAGAAGAACAGAAATACACTAAAATAGCAACTTGGTTAAATCTGGAATGATAACTAAAACTGGGTCTCAGTTTTCTTGTTTCTTTTTCACTTGATATTGAAAAACTGCTTCCGTATTGTTCAGACAATCTAGGCAGGATTATGAACTCTTAATCTCACAAGTGCCCCTTGGAAAGCTATCTTGATCCTTAATATCTCATTAGGGTGGGTGAGAGTTCAAGCTTCTGTTTTTGGAAGGATACGTAGATTAAGAACCTGCTGTTGGCCTCGTTTGCACACTCTATTCAGTGCTATAATGCTATTACCAGTTCTTTTTTTGGCTAGTCTGCAAATACTCGTTTGTCGAATAGGTTCTTTTTGAGAAATCTTAATAGTCATGAAAATGTTGTATGGTTTCTTCATCCCGTTTCTTGACCTTATTATCTTCTCCCTCAGCATAGATTGTATAATTTGGTCTTTGACATTTTATTTTCAGGCCTTTGTTTGCCCATTTATCCCATAATCACTCTATTGAGCGAAGTTTTCACCAAACTTTTTTGGAAGAGTCTAGCTCCTTATCGTTAAATTATAGTTTTGAATAAGCTGAATGCTAGAAATCCACTTGAAGCTTGTAGAAGAAAATCGTGCTTTATCCCACAGGGTTATGATGTGTTTTAAAGTGAATAGATTACAGATTCACATTTTCTTGCATTATGATATGGCTCGGAATTTATAGCCATGGTTATTGAACAGTTTTCAGGCTCTTGGGTGACAACCCTCGTATTAAGGATTTCATTTCTTTTGCTCTTAGTGGTGTTAGTAGGAGGTAAGATATTAAATCTTTGGTGGTGCAGGGCTATTTTTGCTGGCTTTGGTTGGAGAGAAATGCAAGATCTCTCATAATCATTTTTCACCTTTCGTGCTTCCTTTAGATAGCTTTTCCTTTTTGATGTCTCTTTGGACTAAAGCACACAAACATTTTAAAAATTATTCAACTGATTGTTAAATTTTGTTGGCTCTTCTCCTTTTATGTTTTTTAGTTTTTTTGAGGATATTTAAACCTTCATTTCTGGAACTTTCTCCTTATTTCTAATAATAGATCTCTCTCTCTCTCTCTCTTTTTATGTGTATATATATAACTTTTAATTTTGACTCTGTCAGTGTTGGAAACTGAAAATTTGTAATCTATTTACTGAATTTTTATTTATAATATTTAATTTACAACAAATAAATATATATAGAAGAAGATTGAGAGAGTGCTACTAGAAAATTAAACACAAATCAGTCCCATAAAAAAAAAAGAACTTCCAATTATAAATGTAGACTATGATATAGGGAGATTTCCCTGAAGATACGAATTTGTATAAAAAGTAGTCTTATACAAGAAGTCAGATTTCTATACTCTCCCTGAAGGTGGTTCGAAGATGTTAAACAAACCAAACTTGGAATTCGATTCTTTGAAATTCTTCTTAGGTAATGTCTCGATGGAAATATCCATAATTTGATGGAAAGACTTAATTTGCCATAAGGGTACTTCTCATTCTATCTTCTTTTTAGTAAAGTATCTATCAATCTCTACATGGTTAGTTCGATCATGATGTATTGGATTCTTTATTATATTTATTGCGGATTAATTATCACATAACATTTTCATATGATCCAAAGAGAGAATTCTCAATTTACCCAATATTCTTTGTAGTCGATCCATTCACAGATACTTTGTATTAAAAGCTCTAAGTTCAGCCTCAACACTACTCCTTTGTATCACTTACTGTTAGTAGATAGTCAATTGTTTTAAAAAAATAGAGTTAGTCAATTGTTTAAAAAAATAGAGTAGCCAGTTAAAAAAGGGGTACCGGATCCTCTTGCATTATAACAACATCAGTGCCCATATATAATTTTTTTTTGAAATAAAAATGTAATGTTTATATTAATCAGGTACCAAAAAGAAGGGGGTACCAACCCGTAAACCTAGAAATTTACAAACTACTTAGTGTGTCAATGATATCCCCAAAATCATCATCTCTAATAATATCATGACCCAACAAACGATATCAGTGCCTACATATTAATG